TCCTGCTGAGGTAGTTGTAATACAACCCTCACTTCTTGTATCTTTTATTGCCAGCTGTGGTTTGATAAGATCTCTTTGCATTTCTTCCTTATACTTTCAGAGACAAAGCGCCAAAGAATTGCTCAAACATAGATTTATTAGGAATGCTAGGAAAAGTCCCAGACTTCTTGAGAGAATAAGGTGTGACGCTTCTTTCTCCATCTTTGGTTTGTGGTTCTAGTTTTGCACCTCCACTTATTTGATTGTTATGTTTCATAGGTATGTGGTTTAATGTGTAGTTGGTCTTTGAGCTTGTCTTTCTTGTTTGCTTTATGCCAAAAGAAAATCCAGAATGAGCTCGACAGTTATTCTGTCAATTTCCCTTTTTTTTCTTCTTTATAGAGAACGGCCAAAATACCAAATAAAGGAGGATGGAGAGACTCCAAAGAATGGTCCAAAAGCTCTGGCTGAGCAATCTGATACTGTTAAAGTGCCTAGAGATGAGAAAGGCCAAGGAAATGCTGGAGATAGGTGGGTGGAATATATGATCTACACATGGGTTCTAACCTGCTTTTTTTTTAATTATCAAATTCTCAAATACTTGTATATACAGTAATCAGGTAAAAACTGTGAAAAACGCCGGGTGGGACTTTAGTGTTGATGGATCTCAGGGCATTGGAACAGTTCGGGCTCTGAAACCTCCTCATGCGAGGGAAAGGCGCCAAGAAGTTCCCTCTAACCAGACCTCGCAAAGAACATCATGGACTAGTGGTAGCCAATGGTCATCTGCTTCTGGTAGTACGGTTCCTGAAGCATCTGAAGGAGTTCTTAAAAGAAACTCTTATCAGAATGACAATCAGGATGACTTCCATGAGGAAGTAAGATCCTTTGCCCAACATGTGCCCTGATACAGTCTCTGTTTACTTGCACCTTTTCTTTGTTGTCTGTCTGGTCGACTGGAATTATCTTCCTAACTCGACAAATTTATCATGATCTATTCTGTTTTGAGTTCAGGCAACCATTTCTGGGTTTGATTAAGTTCTCTTGAAGGATTACCACATCTCAGAACCTTTCACATTTTCTACCTTCTGTTATCAATATTTACTTTTTTCTTATAAGATGGTAAACTTTATCAATATTTACTTACCTATAGGAATAAAGTTATCATTGTTTTTCATATCCTCAAACTCCCTCAAGATGACTCCTTCAGTGCTCAAGAGATAGTTGATGTTAACTTTATGCCCTTCAAACCTGTGATATCATCGTGATTTCTGAATTTTTAGGATGATTCATCACTCGGCGGCTCTGGAACTGTTGTCATAAGATCTCCTAGAAGTTCTCAGTCATCTTCTATTCTTCGTGATCAGAGCTCGGTATATGGTTTTTTCCTTCCTTTTTCCGTTTTAACTACACAGTATGTGTTTTAAACCATTGTCTTGCTGTGCCAACAACCAGCATGTCTGATTCCATTTCCGTTTGTAGTCTAGCAGCAGGTATGCATCTTTTGATGATGCTTCTACAAGTGGAACTGTTGTTGTTCGCGGACGACATGATGACTTTGGATCACCCCGGACCCCAAAATCAAGACTAGGAATTCAAGAGAGAAGTTCAAGTGCTTCGGAAGACAGTTCAGCAAATCTTGCAGAGGTTATTTGAGAAACATTTAATTTGATTTTAGCTGTTGGATTATTTTCAGCTAAGGATATGTGAAGGCTCAATGTATATGGTGAGTCATGGATTAATCATCAGATTTCTTTTAACAATAAATTAAATGTTCATCTAGGCAAAGGCAGCGATTGAAGCGGGTTTCAGAAGGGGAAATGCCAGAGAAAGATCTGGAATTGGTAAGATTAGCAACGACGGGAAGGCTAATCGAAGAAGGGAACAAATGACAGAAGGCTCAGATTATTCGAGGTGCGTCTAGATCCTAGCTTCTGCTCGTTGCAGAATTTTGTAACGTTATTCTTAACAGGAGGCTGCAACCTTGCAGAAATTCCCATGATCACTTTGAAGCACAGAAACAACTACCAAGATCACAACTGAGTGATGATGAAGATGACTCAAAACTGGCGTCATTGTCTGCATCCTTGTCAATTGTGCTCATGCCTTCCCTAAAAGAGGTGCACTGCTATATGATAGCTATATATAATATTTGCTATCCTCAATTACAGTTAGTTGGGATATATCTCGCCATCTCTGCCCTTCTTTTCTACACAAGGATTAATAGGTTAGGAATGTTCGAAGGTTAAGCACAATAATTTTGCGTCGAAATGTTATTAACTTGTGAAGGGCCCATTAATTGTACAATGCATTCGTTTATCGGGTTTATGGTGTAGGTTCTTGGCGGTGATTCAAAAGGGACCATTGGACGTGAAGTTTCGAGATCCCTTGTGAACATGGAACGTGAAAAACCTGGTTCTTGTGAAGCTTTTGTTGCCAAGGTGATTGAACATTTGGGAAGGTACTGTAACTTTAATGAACAAATATGCCATATATATGCATACAGACGCAATGTGGTTGGTGTAATGGTCGGATATTTGATCTGATGAATCCCCGAACGAACCTACGTTGCAGTTCGAAGGAAGCTTCAATGAAAGAATTGCAGGAGATGGCAGCTCGTGTTTTCGCTAAATCTACACCCTCTGATGCAGAGAACAAAAGAAAGCAACCTAACAAAGAGCTCAATTCCAACGCCAACCTTAGCCCCCTCGCAAGATTCTTACTCTCCAGGTTTGAAAATTATCATACAAAATATATATGAATCTCTTACCAACTCCTAGATGAAGAAACAAACTTTAAAAAATAAATACAGGAACTTGTCCCATCTCTAGCTAAAATCACGAGGATTTTGCAAGGACTCCTACAAAAACTTCTCACGCATTTGACGTCGTTTCTTGTTTGGCATGTCGTTTTTGGGGAATCCCCGTATAATTTCGTGCATTTCTTTTAGAGTTCTTGCAGAATTCATTCATGACTTTAACTAAAAGTCGGAAAAAGTTTGTGTATTTTTCTGTCTGAGAATGTTAAAATTCGTATATTTATGTGGGATTTTCCGTTATTATTAATAATCTTTACGTGGTTAAGATATATAGCATTTGGGTAGCAAATGGATAGAGTTTGATACCAATTGATATAGTTTGGATAGTTTAAGAGTGGAGGCTTGACCCTCCTTATATATTGGTCCCAAATCTATCTCTTTCTCTGATGTGGAACACTTATCAGATTCTGTTGTGTGTGCAGATGGCAAGGTCAATCTTCTCGTGATCTTAATCCAATTTGAGACAGAACAAATGCTCCGCGCCCTTTGTGGATTCGTACTGTCTCCATTTTTATGCATTGAATTTTGTGGTATTTATGTGCATATAAAACTTGTTAGAGAAATTTGTATTGATGTGTCCTCATTTTGCATTTCTTTTCTTCGTTCTCAAAACATTTCCCGGGTTTTACAAGTGGGAAGCTTGTTCTTAGTTGTACGGCGGGGTTTGGTGACAAAATTGTAATCTTTCTGACGTTTCATTTATATTTATTTATTAATTTTACGTCCACTATGATTCGATTTCTTCTTCAACGTTATCATTCGACACAAAATGATACTTTACAGAGACACAAAAGACTTCATTGGACTTTTTTTTTTTTGGTTATATATTCATATTCAAGCTCATGATATATATGCATGATCCATCCAGCATATATGTATACATATATATATGGATATAGATAAATTATTGTAATAATACTATGAAAAAAGTACATGACTCCATTGTTAGTATCCAAGAGAACAACAGCAACAAGAATCTTTACGATAAATTCGTAGGTTTTCGGCGTAATTTAAAATAATTAATTTATTTATCTATAAAAAGAAAAGGGAAGAAAAAAAGATGGCGGCGGCGTCATTGAAATGGTCAAAAGCGGACACGTCACCTGACCCCACCCGCAATCTAACGGCGGTTTGCAGGACCTCCAATACATACAGTCATGCATATATACATACGCGCGTGCAAATTCCTGCTTTAATCTGATAATGCGACTATGATTCTGTCCATCTTTTTATTTACGTACGTAAGACACACACGTACGTATATATCTTATATACATGCGTGTGTGTATATGCGCATATATAAACAGGTGGTACCATCATATTATGGATCGGCGAGTTCAAAGAAATCAACCACGTGGCTCAATGCTAATGGGACCCACCCACGAAAAGGAATAATTATTTTCAGAGCCGACGCAACACATTCTGTCTCCTCGCTTTCCTACATGCCGCAGTGACACCTGTCCAACGTTAAGCTCCCACGTGTTCATTTATCATTGGTACATGATATTGCAATGCTTTCTTTAGTTTGACTAGCACGTTAAAACTTCCCCAGTTTCCCTGAATTTTCAGTAATTTACATAGGAACCCTATTTTTTGAAAAGTGACGATTTTGCCCTATATTTTATCTGAACACGAGAATCATACTTTGGTATTTTGCGATTTTTTTTATAATCTAAAATTTTATCAAGCTTTCGACTCACTAAATCTCTCTGAAGACGGAAAAAATATAGATGAATATTTCTTTTCAAATAGGGATTCAAATACGAATTGATAAAGAGTTTTGACTCACTTCTTACTTGTTGAGTCATGAATCATGATCGACTTTAGGTAATATTTCGTGAAATTGATATATGGTTTTTTATTGAGGGAACGAATATTGAAATTTTCAGCTTTTTTTTTTTTGTTTTAACTGTTTGTGTTAAATAAAATTAAATCCAACGTTAACAATTCTGAACCCAGAACTTTTTAGTTAAGTATTTTTTTTTTGTATAAATGCTCTTTAGAATAGAATCACTATGATTTTAATCGATTTTTATATTATTTTTTTAAAATATTATAAAGTTATCTCACATTCTATTCAATTAAATTAAAATTATGTATCATTAAAATTTAAATTGTTTTTATACAATACTATAATCAAATAATATAAAAATCATTATATTATATGTTAATCAAATTTATTTAAGATATAATTATATTTTATTGATTTTATATAATATACCATTAGCGATATCATACAAACGAGTTATTTGGTTCGAATCGAATCAAAATAAATTGGATCATTTTGAGTTAGACTCGCCATATTTGTTTTCAAAGGAGGTAAAAAAATCTCGTCTCGCTTCGCTTCGATTCGAATTGTCTGTTTTACGAATTAAACAAGTTCCCAAAGAAAAAAATATTATTTATTTATTTTATAAAAAACAAATAAATAATATTTTAAGATGAAAATTAAATATAAAACTCAAATATGTAAAATAAATTATACACATAACCAATAAAAAATTAAATTAAATATTATTTTTTCATAAAATATAATCAATATATATATATATCACTTCAGGGACTAGTTCGTTATACTGGGTGGCCAAAACTCCATATGATGAGCTAATTTGTCATATTAATTATTTTGAAATGGACGTTAAAAATATCGATTTCTCTCTTTTTTAATTTAAAGACGTTAACTCGAGCGAATTGAATTCATTTTGATACCTAATATCTGTTTTTTTAAGAAAACATATTGAGCGTGTGGGTCTCGCCCTTACGACCACCACAGCTTATGTTGATTTACACGTGTGAGTCATTGGTTACTATTTTCTATGATTTTTATGAATTATTCTCATCACAATTTTTTTTTTTATTTTTTTAAATTAAGATATAATGTTTATTATTTTGATACAATTGGATAACCCCAACCCCTAACCTTTTTCTGTATTTTTTTTTGTGTAATCTTTTTCTGTATTTTTATTATATAATAATAAATATTTCCCATGTGTGTGCAATGTGCATCGTGTCAACCTGCTCACTCTCTTGACCCCGTTTGTTTTTTATTCGTGATAGATTAATTACATTGTACAATATTACTTAAAAATTAGCCATAAAATGTCTCGCACTTTTATGATAATTTCCCCATGAATCCATGAAAAAAATCATGGCTTTTTTGTCTCCCTTTAAAACTTTTTAAGGTTGAAAAAGAAAGTCAAATTTAATCATTGAAAATTTTTGTAATATGGAAAAAAAAATAATCTCACGGAATTTAATATTGAGTATCATGGCGGAATAATCTTATATAATAATAGTAATTAATTGTTCATTTAAAAGAGATCTTATTTTGGGGAGCCAATAGAGTGGTGCCGAGTCAACGGGGGGCTTAGGGACAGGGAGCGAAAGAGTAAGAGATAGGGGGCAAAATGGACCACTTATTGAAAATTTAATTATTAATAATCATAAATAAAAATAATAATGAAGGAAAATAAATAGAAAGAGAAAGCATCAGATGAACTTCATCGTACGGTGGAGATGCAATGCACGTGACGACAACACAGAATCCCCCCGACATAAACCTCGTCAACACGGAATTTACATCTTCCGCACGCTTTACGTTTAAATTTCTTCACGCGTATATCGGTTTGAGTTGACATTTCGCATTCCGAACCGGATCTCAAACCGGTTAGCACAAATAGCAACCCACAAGGTTCATTTTTTTAATTGAAATTTGGAACAGTGTATCCCAATTTCTCCCTCTTTCCTAATAATAATTTCGATACTTATTGCATTTACTATATATAAATATACAATGGTAGATACAGAAAAATTTATAATTGGGGGTAATGAATAATGATATACTTATTATAATTTTTTAGGGATAGATTTAAATTTATTATGGAGTCATTTAACAATTTTTATTTAAAACTTGTAAATAAATTAATTTGTTTAATAAAAAGAATGAGGGTATATATAGGTATAAGATCCCATTGCTAATGAAATATTTCAAAAATCATAAGCAGCCATCGTTTGAAATATTTTTATGTTTTGCCCCAAAATGTATTAAAATTCATAATGTATACAATATACCATAGGTTTCAAATTTTTGTTGGACAAAAATACTTATAAAATCCGGAAAAAAAAAGGATAACAACATATTTATTATCACTAACGAGGAAAACGATCTCGTGATAATAATATAGGCATATAAACCAGATATAAGGGGATGTATATATTAAAAGCTCGGAGAGTGGACCCCACATCTTTGATTTGGTCTCCCGTCGGTGCCGCCTCTCTCTTTTTAAAGAAAATAAAAAATAAAAAATGGAAATGAAGGGAATAAGTATGGGAAAGAGGATCGCCCGTCCACGTGGATCCACAGATGAATCTAGCCGTTGGATCTACACGAAGAGAGAGAGAGAGTCTCTCATTCTCTCTCCACCTAAAGCCGCCTTCAAAACGACGACGTTTCCTCAACCACTCAAATTATCCTCTCATTATTTCATTACAACTACCATTTTAAAAAATCGAAATATTTAAGGGGAAATATTAAAATATAAGATGGAGGACGTCACACATTACAGATCAGGGTTATTATGAACAATAAATGTTTATATTAAAAATTCAAAGACATTAAATTTTACAAATATCACATCAAAATATAATGAAACTTTTTTGTAAATTGAATTCGAACCGCTATGAATACCAACATAACATACAATATGTTTTTTTTAATACAAGGAAAGGAATGGTGAAATCATAGCCGAAAATATGCATAATTAAAGATATCTAATGCTTGGAGTTGTTCAGGGGAGGTCCGTACATCCAAAGAGTGGGGTCCACTTGATGACGTAAGCAGAGCCATCCCACCACGCCGGCTGCGTGTCCGCTTGACACTTGCAGCCATTACGCATATTCATCCCTTTTTTTTTTTATTACATTTTATAGGTTTCCTATTTATTTATTTATTTGTATTTTCAGAAGAAAAAAATATCCCCCCTCTGAATTATTATATATCAAAAGCGAAAATTATTACTTTTATTTTCATAATTGGAAACGAAAAGAACAACAACTGAGAAACCAAGGAGGTTTCACAGTTGCAAAAAAACTAACACAGAATTAGTTCATACCGGCGACTATGTAAAACAAGAATATGTACACGTCAGCTCAAATTATGGTTCCCCCTCTTGATTTTTCTAATAAACGGTAATATTAATTTTTTAACGGAAAATTTAATTTCTCCCATCTAAAAAAAAATGCTCAGGCGTGTTCCACCGGAGGAGGCAAGTTCAGATCTAGATCTAACGGTGGAGATCTCTTCTCCGACCCTCCCTCGAAATCGACGACCGACGACGAGTCCGACTCGCTCTGGGCCCCGTGCGCGGCCGCCCCAGCTCGGGCCATCCCCATCAGCTCCAAGAAAGACACCGGACGCGCCATCGGGATCTGATAACACGCGCCACCGCGGCTGAGCTCTAGCTCCGGCGACGCCGAAGGAGGAGACGCGCAGTCGAGCGTGCTGCTCTGGCTAGGGCTGCGGACGATGGGTTTGTCGTTGAGGTGGAGGGAGGGGAAATTGGTCTTGGCTTTGGCGCCACGAAACTCACGCGCCGCCGTGTCGTAGGCACGCGCCGCCTCCTCGGCCGTGTCAAAGGTGCCTAACCACACACGTGTCTTCTTCCCGGGGTCCCGGATCTCGGCGGCGTACCGACCCCAAGGACGCTTCCTGACGCCCCTGTAACGGATCTCCTTCGCATTCGGGCTCGGACCAACCGGGTCGGGTCTCGGACCCATCTTCCCCATCTCTGTATATGTATGTATGTGTATATATGTATGTATGATGATGAAGGGCAGGGACGTGGGAAGGGGTGTGTGTATATATAGGGAGGGAGAGATAGTGAAGAGACGCTCCTTTTGGGGGATGGCTTTTGTTGTGAACAGTCAAAGCAACAAGTTAAGCGGCTTCCCTCACACGAAGCGGTTTTCCTGTTTTCTTTCTGACACCCACTTGTCTCTCGCCACGTGTCCCTTCTCCCGTTCTTATCCAACGTGGTCTTCCTTATACTGATTGCTGCTCTACACACCATACGTACATATACGATTATGATACGACCGCCTCCTTTTATTTTTTTTAAATAATAAATAAGACGTCCTGTCATGAGGGAGCTTTTCATTGTTTCTGCTCGTTTCGAAATCGATATAATTTATTTATAGTGCACGATTTTATCAAATATTCGGACTAATACAATTTATGTTCAATTATTTTTGTTCCAAATTAAATGTTTAAAGATTAAAGATAAGTATGACACCACATATTGGTATATAAGTCAAGCGAAAAAATTTAGCTAAATAAAGTAAAATACGTTACAAGCGGCGCCTAAAAAGCAGAGAGGGAAACGGCGTTTTAGTATGACGCCAAAAAGGAAAATAAAATAAAATGGAGAAAAGGCCAAAACGTTAAACGTGGTGAATCGCGTTGATGTGGGGCTCAGGAGCCGCGTTATCACTTTCCGCGGCGTGTGAGATTCACACGCGCGTGGCAGCGATGTTTGACTGTTTTTTCCCAAGCCGCCCTTCCGCCCAGAAACAAGACATATGGGCCCCACATTCCCAAATTTTCCTTTTTTCATTTATTTTATCCCCAAATCCCGTTTTTCTCTGATCGAAACATGCCACGTGGTCAACGAGACACGCGGACAGCGATCAACCAAAACATGTCTCTACCAGTGATCACACGTTGTCCGAAGTAGATCTTCAGTGGATCGAGGAACTTCACGATGATTTCAGCATGCTCGGGTTCAGAATCCGTGCAGATATGCATTATGAATAGCTCATTGGCTTCGCGCAGGAACTCCCGAGCAAAAGGACGTAACTTTATCAACAAGTCACCGGAACGACACAGATCGTCCCTTGAATCCGCTTGTCGAATCAGATACCTCTCCTTGGGGGAAAGCCGATAAACCCTAGAGCAGTGGACGAGTGTGTGATTTAGATCAAGAGCCAAGTGAAGCTTCTTCGCTCCGTAACCCATCCCCGATCTTCGACGCTTCAGGGAATTTACGAATCCGTGGCTCAGGTGTAAACCCTTTTCAAGGTAATGGAAATCTCTCACAGCATGGTCATCCACTTCCGAATCGCACCGGCAACAGTACCCAGATCGACCGATTGCATGATCACAGCAAGAACCAGACATTGTTTTACGCCAAGAAGTATATGAACAGAGAAATCCGTACAACTCGGGAAGAGATATCACCCGAGAAGTAATATTTTATATATATATATATATATATATATATATATATATATATACGTACATACCCCCAAATCCAAGTGGGATACTATTTAGACATAATCCTAGTCCCCTCAGGAATCTAGTTGGAGATTTCCCACGAAACCCCTCGAGTCTCAATCTCGATTTGGTTAGGGTTTTTCTTTTTTTGGAAAGAAAAGGGGAAAGATACTATTTGGGTTTTAGAATCTAGTTGCATGAGCCGAATTATGTTATTCTTTCTATCTAAAACATAGAAATAATATCTAATCTAAATATTATGTAATCTTCTCACATATTCTCTAACGGTTTTCTATGATATTATTCGTATCTTTATAAGATACAAGTAATGTTTCCCTCATGATTCTAGTTTTAAATCGAACAAGTATCGAAAGCTATATATATATATATATATATATATATAGCTTGGTTTGGGATCAATTTATTGTTTGTAATTGTTTCTAATAATCGAATCTTAAGAGATGAGTTCGATTCACTTGTTTTTATCTATAATTCAAACTTATAAATAAAAAGAAAAAATCACCCCGAATCAATGAAAGGACCGATTAAAAATTTTAAACTCATCTCTTTCCTTTGTTCTCTTTGTTTTTTACTTTTATTAAACTTGTTTCTTTCCTAAAAAAATATAGAAATAATGTTTCCCTCGTCTCAAACTTTTTCGAGCCCACTTCATTTTATACAAGTTAATTTTAAAAAGTATTATTATTAAAATTAATTAATAATTTTTAAAAATTATTAATTTTTATAAGAATATTTAATAATAAGAAATAAATTTTGTAATCTTTTATTATGTATTAAAGATATAATAATAATAATAATAATAATAATAATAATAATAATAATAATAATAATAATAATAATAATAATAATAATAATAATAATAATAATAATAATAATATCTTAAAAAATAATCCATAAATTTAGAGTCTTTATTACAAATATAGCTGATTTTTTCTTTTAAAATAAAAATTTTCAAATTGTTCATAATTTTTAGGATTTTTTTGAGAGAAATCCTAGATGATAAATTATAAAATATCTTATTTAATCAATATGAATATCTAAAATATATAAATAATATCTAACATAAATATTAGATAAGATTATTATAATCTTCTCAAATCTTCTCTGACGATTTTCTATGATATTCTTTATATCTGTTAAAGATACAAGTAATATTTCGCTAATGTGGTTCTATTTTCAAATCGAACACGCACCGAAAGCTATGTATATATCCAAATAAGCGTTGTGTTTAATTATTTGCATGAACCTTGGCGAGTTTCATTGATCACTTCAGGTCCAAATGGTTCATAATTTTCAGGATTCTTATGAGAGGAAATCTAACGCTAAAGATGATAAGGTCAAAAAATACATCTAAGGCAAGGGAAACAATAGTCTCCAACCCAATGGTGGGCAAGTGATTGAAAGGGTGTTACTCTTGGGGTTCCGGTCACCAGTTCGAATCCAGCTATTAGAGAGGGAGGGGGTGTTTTCTCGGTTGGGAGGATGTTGCTCTCTGAGCCCTTGTCATCGAGCCCCTAAAGGCTGTTCCCGGACCTGAGGAGATGTTGGTTGGACCGAAGGCCCAGGTGAACCTCTCAGTTAACAAAAAAAAAAAGTCTCCAAGATCAGGGATGCAAGAAAACCCTAACGTCTCTTGGATAAACGGTATCTTGATGAACATATCGGAAGAACTTTTCATGAACTGTCTTGAGAAACGCCAGAGCATTCGCCAAAGCTCCATCCTTTTCGCTCTCGTCGCGATGGATCGGAATATTCTGATTAGTTACGCATCCAAACAGCTTTCTCTTGATGGATTTCGCAACGTCTACCACCGTCCTCCGCGGTTCGAAATATCCGTAACTCGCGATCGGCCGCAAGTTTCTCCTGTGTTCTGGCCACCACGCTCGGCATCTGTTATCAATTATAACTACACCACGTTCTTCGGCCAAGACAAGATCGAGAGTCTTCATATCGTAAGTATTGTCTGGACAAGTAATGACCCGATGTCGGAAATACACATTCTGAGGATCCAGAAACTTCAACGCTGCTTCTGCCCACTCGGGGGATAAATGTGTGTACACATACATTGTGAACATCTCGTTTGCTTCCCGGAGGAATTCACGGACGAAAGGCCGTAACTTTACCAGCACGTCGAGCGCTTCCACGACCCACAGATCATCCCTCGACTCAATTTCTTCTAGCAGATACTTTTCTCCGTTTGAAAGACGCGAGACATGACGGCAGTGTACGAGAATGCACTGCAGGCCGAGAACCAAGTGGAGCTTTTTCTTCCTCCGTAAAGAGTTCTCCGTCACCAGGCGTTTGGCCGATCCCACGAACTCGTAACTCAAGTGCAAGCCTTGGGAGATGTAATCGAATGGTAGGCAGTTGGGTTGGGGAGATCCGCATCGGCAGCAGCGACCGTGTCGAACCACCCAATGCCCACATCGCTTGAAAATCTGCTGTCCATCAACGGACGATCCACAATGGCAACACACGCCGTGAAGAACCGTACAATGATCACAGCCGGACATGATTGATTGATTTCCCACTGAGACACGAACTCCCCTTTTGTTAATTAATCCTGTTTTCAACTTGTTCGAGGATTGAGAAAATTCCCAAAACCCTAATCGAGAAGTAATTATATATAGAGGGTTTTCTTTTCAACAAAAGAAAAAAAATTATATATAGAGGAAGACGGAAACCAAGTCCAAGTGGAATATATATATATATATATATATATATATGCTCGTTTTACATTATCCTAGCCCCTTTAGGAACCTATCTATTATTGGTTATAAAATCCCTGTGATTACAATTTAAGGGAAACTTCAAAAAACCCAAAATTTGTTAAGAAAATATTTTTTTACACTAAAAATTTAATTACGTAAAATATTTTTTTGTATGATAGAATTCTAAATTCTATAATTCCATTGATTCATTTTAAAATTTATTGATAATAAAATAAAAAAATTTAGTTATATATTTATCCAATCTTTAACAATATCTAAATATAACAACAATCAACAATAAATTAATGCATTAAAAGGATCTATATATTATTTAACATATATTAATATTCAATATTCAAATTTTAAATTTAATTTTAACTTTTTCTATACAAATTTGAAAATTTTAATAACGTAATTAAAGGCTCCACAAAAATTTGAGACGGCTGTAGACATAGATACATATACAATGTCATATTCACATACACTTATAGGGTTTTTCATTGACTTGGCAAGAATACATGTTTTTTTTTTTGGCGATTTCCCCAAAAAATAATTAAAGCTTAAAAATTAAAAAATTCTAATTAGGGTTTGAAGCCACGTTGATCTCCTCTTCCTCCTCATCGTCGTCTTCTTCGCTCTCCACGCCCTCACCAACGCCGTCATTGTGGTTTTGATCCTCCATGAGAAGAGGTTCAAAAGTTCAAATCATCCTTTGCCTCTACGAATTGGGTTTCCAGTTTGTCCGCCGTCGTCGGGCTTATCCATATATTCTTTCGAGGCAGGCGCCGTGAATGAATTTGGTAACAGACGATGTGGCTTCGTTCATATCGTTCTTGTTTTCGGCCTTTCTGCTCCTGGCCTTCGTCAGAGTCAGATCACGACGGTGTTATATGGGCAAATCTCTCCCAATCATCATCATCATCATCATCATCATCATCATCATCATCATCATTCAATATTCAACTCCTCTGATTTCTCTTGAATTCGATCCTTATGTTCTCTATAGGGATTCAAACGAGATGAACCCGATTTTACTTTTGTTTTTTATTATGTTTTATGTTTATATTAACTAATTTTAATTAAATTGGTTTAAATAAATTTGGTTTGCTAATTTGTTACACATGATGTGTCACAAATAAAAAGGCCACGTCAGATAGGAAAACGGCAAGTTAACGTCGTTTAATGATGGATATTAATTTTGAAGCAGTTTTTGAATTTGTGAATATATTTATGTCAAATTTTTAATTTGGGATTTTGTGTGGCACATTTTGATGAATTAGGAAATTTTTATAGAATTTTCAGTTGTTATTATTATTATTATTATTATTATTATTATTATTATTATTATTATTATTATTATTATTATTATTATTATTATTATTATTATTATTATTATTATCTCTTGAATTGTTATAATCCTAGATGCTCTTCTGTATCACAGAAGAAGAGCAATCTTATGCAAGTAAGTCTATTAACAGAGAAATTTGTTCATAAAAATCCGTATGGAACCATCCCTCTCGAATCTCAACTATGGGTTTTGATGTGTGGCGTATGATGAATTATATCTTATATTTTATATTGAACTAGTTGTTTTGTTTTGTTGGCACTTCAAAAAAAGACAAGGTTTGGTACATTTTTTGACATAAAGTTTGTCCCACATCTCCTTTCTCTTAATTGCATCAAGTTCTTCTGTCATCGCAACTGTCCAACTGTTCTTGCGTGCAACTTCTTCATAGGTAGTCAGTTCTTCAACAACCAGCAAATGCAGACCCGTGTCTATTTCGAGTTCATGAGTAGCATTGTATATATCTTGTAGGGACCCGTACCCTCTTGGTCCCTCTGCCCCGTCTTCCTTCGTCGTAGGTGTTAGAGCAACTACATTCTCATGCTCGTAATTACACCAGATTGAATGCTTGTTTGGATATGCACTTATGTTTCTTGTTCTTCACCCATCAGTTGTTCTTTGTAATTAACAACCACTCGTCCTATTCCCCTTGTTTCTTCATTCTTCTCTTGATATTGCCAATCCCATTCCTCTTCCTCGTGTAATACCACATCCCGACTCACTGTTATTTTGTTTCTCTTTGGATCCAAGAGTCGACACGCTTTTGACCCTAGTTCATATCCGAACCATCCTTGTACTCCTGTTTTCGAGTTTCACATAGGCGACACATCCGAAAACTAATAAGTGTTGAACCTTAGGGGTTTTCCTATTCCATATCTCATGGAGTCATCCCCAACACAACCGTGGTTGGTGATATGTTCAAAATTGTCTTCGCTACTTCTATCCAATAGATAGATGGTACGTTTTGTTGCTCAAAGGACATCTTGACAATTGTTTGGTTTCTTCTTTCTATAACCTCATTCTATTGCGGGGTATAAGGTGTTGTCAGGTGTCAGTCGTGAACTTTTAAATTTTCTTGTTCAGTTTGTCTTTTAACCTCATCCTTCAATTGAAGAAAAAAATAGATTATTCCATTAATTTCCAAAATATGGGAGAATCTCGACCAAGATCAATCACAAATATTGCAAGATCAATCAAGAGTATTCTCAGAAGATTCTAACCGTTGGAAGTTATTATACAAACTCTAAAATTTATCCATTTTCTTTCTGGGCACCTATATCTTCCCTTATGTATACACTTCCCTTATGTATACACTTACAGATTTATTTTATTTTATTAGTCTTTAGTCAATTCTCCTATTTAAATATTGTACATGTTCTTTGATTGATTATCAATTCAATGGAGTTTTTTATTTTTTTATACTTTTTATTATCATCACAAACGCCATAGTTTTTTACATAATATGAGAGTTTGTTTGATACTAAAGTGTTTATTATTTTTTTAATTTTTTCTCTTCCATTATTTCACTATACAATTTTAGGGTAGAAGCCTTCACAAAGCGTCTCTCTCAGCCAAATGAGAACCGAAGTGGAGAAGCGTCAAATTTGTCACAAAACGGTCAATCTTATTTTTTTGTTTGATACTAACGTGTTTCTTTTTAAATATTTCAGTTAAAATGACACCAAAATGTCATCATATGGCTTTGACATGGAAGCCCATATACGCGAGAAAGAAAATATATATTTTTAGTTCGATTTCGGAGGTTGGAATCCCGAAGGAGAACCATATGAAAAAGTAAATTTTTGTGAACATTTTTACAATAATGTTGTTCAATCGTTGCAAAAAAAAAAATTGTAAGCAAGCCTAAAACCAAATTGGTAAAACTTTTATTTTATTTTTTGTAATTTGTAATCTCTTTTAAATCTCATTTGTTTTCTTTTTTCTTTTTTTATTTCTTGTTCAGTTAGGTGATGACAAATCATCCTTGGAGTGGAATCTCAATGCGAGGAATACCATTGTGATGGTTGCTCTTCTGATAACAACCATCGGCATCACCGCAACATTCGATCCACGGGTGGTGTCGACTCAAATGGACACGCAACAGTTGGAAAATCCATCATCTTCATCTGCTTTTCAATTGCAAATGAGTTAAGCATGTTATGTGCTCTAGGAGTTGTGATGATATTCATCAACGTTATACCTAACCCAAAGAAGAACATGAAGAAACTGGTGAAATTCGATAGGTTCCTTATATGGGTATCTTTAGGCGAAATGAGAGTTTCTTACATTCTTACATGTATAGTCCAACCTAAAGAGCAATTGTAGCTTAGAGTTGTTGTTACCATTATCATAGCCATCGCTTTAGCTACTATTTTTGGTTCTACACATTCTAGGACCATGCAGGGCATCTTTAGACGGTATATCGTTGATTATATTGGTTCTTATGATGGTGAGAATATATCTTAATAGTTTTGGCCACACATGATAGGATATAGGCCGATCAGAGAAATATAATGCGGATTTTGTTATAAATAATGTATTTTGTCATTTAGAAAAGATTACATTGTTTCTTGGCATATCTGAATGTCACTTTACAAGTTTGGCCTTTGATGTGTAGCGTATGATGAATATATCTTATATTTTATGTTGAACTAGTTGTTTTTTCTTGCTAGCACTTCAAACAAAGACAATGGTTTGGTGCATTCTTTGAACATGTGGACAATAATTTTTTTTTGGGTTGATTTTGATGACATAGTAAATCGTCTATACTAATGCAGTAGGAATGCAAGTATTCATAGATTATATATCGATGAATAAGTATGTCATGCTAAGTGTCGTGTTGTCAGATACATATTTTTTTGCTAAGTGTTTGTTGAACAATCTTGAAATACAAGAGCGACGTGTTAATGCTTAAACCCATGCTTCAGTTTGCAACTAATTAAAAGATCATTTATCTTGGCCTGTTGGTGGAGAGAGCAGATGTTTTTTTCATACGTTACGTGCTGATTTTTCTCCTTTCTATGGCTACTTGGCAGGCTCTCAATAGATATTGGGGAGGACAAAGTGATTTATGATTCATTGTTGAAGTTTGAAATCAACGTGATGCGCTCAACAAGGAGGAGGAAAAAAATACATGTCGGATTGAAGTGATCAAATTGGAGAGGAGATTGTGTGTGTTGATCATTTTGATTTAGATGAGTGATATTGCTGACCTTGAGAGAAAAAAGTTCACAGGGATTCAACATTTTCAGGGTACTTGACTTGGAATGCCAAGTTGAAATTATTGAAATCCATGTGTTCATAGTAGGTGCCAAAACTATGGAGGTTGCAATCTTTATTCTAGTATATGTTATAATTGATGACTTTGTATTTGGACGGACTATCTTCTATATAACCTAATTGTTAAATGAAAACTTTCTTTTGAATCTGAAAATTTGTCACTTTTTTTAATAAAATC